TCTCCAGCAGCAGCAGGGCCCACAGCAGTGCGGCAAAGAGCGGCAACGGCAGCAACTCCAACGAGGCGGGGTGTGAGGTGTTGTATTGCGTCCGGTGCCAGGCGGGCAGCACTACGAGCTGTGGTGAATGCGCGCGAAGCTACGAATTGACGACCAACTTCCAGTGTGTGCAGGGGGACGGTGCTGTTCGCGTGTCGCTGACGGCGGGCGGTCACCTGTGGGCTGCGCTGCTTCTCGCCGCTGCGCTGTGGGTGTGTTCCGCGTCGGTCTAATTATTTTCTTTCCCCCGCGAAGAGGACGGCGCAGTGGCACGCTGGTGGCCTCGCACGCGGAAGGCACGACACAGCGCTTTCCCAACAGGACAGACAGTCTGTGTTCGTGGAGGAGGCAGCTCAGTGAAGGTGTGCCGCACAGTATGCCGTTTTAAAAGGCTGTGCACGTGACGGGTGCTCCGTGGTGCAGTGGAACGTGGTAGATTCCAGCTGCCCACCGCTCGCAGCCGTGAGCATTTCTTTTGCCGTTCCTTGTTCTTTCCTTCTTTTGATCTTTTGCTGTTTTCCTCCTCTCCCCTTCTCCCCCTCTTTTTCTTTTGTTTCTTTTTCAAGCGAAGGGATGTGGTCCGCACACACAGTGCTAGCTCTTCGTTGTGGGGGTGCCGTGCGTGGTGTGAGCCGCGCCCGACAGCAGGCAGTTCTTCAAGCGCTACCACTGCTGCACTCTTGGAAAGGCCGGGTGCTGCTTTTGAATGAGCGCGACTGCTGCGAGCGGTGCCAAAGCCCCCCTGCACGCCCGCACGCCGCCACCGCCATCAATTGGCTTTCTTATTTTCTACGTTCCCTGTGATTTCTCTCTTGTGTTTCGAGTGACGCGTGCGTGCATGTGCGCGTGGGAGAGTGCTTTGCCTCCTTGCTCTTTTGCGTGGTTTCCCCGCTACCGAGGCGCTCACGGGATGGATGTGTGCGTCCGTTGCTGGTCTTTGGCGTGTGCCGTGCGGGAGTGGTGTGGTGCACGGATTGCTGCTGTGAAGCGGGATGCGGACGCGAGCGCGTTTTCGTTGCTGAGTGCTGCGTGACGCAAATGCGGAGGGACAGGCAATCATTCTTGTTCCGCGGCTGTACCCGACAACGGCTGCGTTGGTGTCCACCGATACCATCGCGCAACAGAGGGCGGCACAGAACGCGAGCCGTTGTATCAAGTAGCTCTTTCATCTGACATATATATATATAATATATATAGATGTATGTATCTACTTATGTGCAACCTTCTCTAATGCTAAAGCTGGTGAGCTCGTGTGTCTTCGTGATTCTCTTATTTTCTCATCATTTTTCTTATCTTGGTGGATGTTGTTGTGCGCTGCTGCACTATGTTTTTTTGCGGTGCACGTGCCCACGCCAGGGTATCTCGTGCAGTCCTTGCATTGCCATTGTGAGATGCCATTGTGGGTGTTTATTGTAGACTGCTGCACAGGACCCTGCGCTGCGGTGTCTGTTCCTCTCTCGCTCTGCTCGCTGTTTCTCCTGGCAATGTGCAAACGTGTGTGCTCCGTCGCGCTGCCCGGCAGCTGCTCAAATAGAGGCGCGGATCTGCCGGTGTGCGCGCCGCTGCAGCAGATTATTCCCGCAGCTGTCGCACATTACCCCCCGCAGCAGCGCACGCCGACTCGCCACCTCCAACTCTTTTTCCTCTCATTCGCGTTCTTCATTGTTATTTTGATATATTTACTTTCTGAACCAGTCATAATTTCCAAAGCTGAACCGTTTTTGGGGTGCGCATCTCCGGTGCTGTGGCGACAGCAGCAGAGGATGGCTGTCTCACCCCCGCTGTTTTTCAGTTTAACCGAGTAAAGTGTGCAACAGTCTGTTTTTTTCTCTCTTTCTTTTTTCCCGTGCTGACCTGTGACTCCAAGTCCACCGCTCATTGAAATCGGTGTGCCGAAGAGGAGCTACGGCGGGCAGACTGCGTGCCGTGCTGCGTAGAGTGTCTGCTAGTAACGCAGCCCATTTGCTTTTGCTTCTGCCGTTGCTGCGCCGCACACGCCTCAACTGCCGCAGCTGTGCTTCATCTTTGTTTCGCGTGTGTTTCAATACTGAGCCTTACTTCTCCTTTTATTATCATGTCTTTCTTTCTACGCTTCAAGCTTTTTATTCATGCGTGAATGTGTCTTTCCAATTCACTTCATCCTTCGGTAGAAATCCTCATTTCGACATCGCATAGCGAACGACGGC